AAGATATACTGTAAAGTGGTGTAACTGTGTTTTGTGGGTGAATGTGGTAGCCAATTGTGCACAGCAATTTCCCACAAATGTCCATGGAGGGAATGACCAATTTTAGCTGATGGATTGCTAGTCTGGAAGAGAAGCCCTGTTCTCTTGAATAGTGCCATGCGATTTACTGTCCACCTAACCAGCTAGACTCTTATGAAGGTCAGATAGCTCAGAACCAGTTAATTAAACTTCTACAAGTCATTTATAACATCTTCATACTTGTATTTTACACAAACCATTCACCTTTATGAATTCTAGGTATAACAAAAATGGCAGTCCTTAGAACAAGAAAAAATTGTTTCCACAAACATATATGTACTTACAAAATACAAAGTATAGATATGAAACCTCAGAATTCATGTTTGTGCATAATTGTAACCAAAGTTCCATGACAGGAGTTTTCATTTAATTTCTGCAGTATTCATTTAGCTTTTGTGCATTTAATTTTGAGAATGCTATTAAAATATTTATGTAATGCAAGATGGCTACTAACTACAATGCTAAATAGCACACAAAGTAAACAAAAATCATGGAAATGCATCGCAAATCAATCAGCATCTGAAAGAGGATAAGTATAAGGATAAATGTCGGGTAGGTCCTTCATCTGGTGTGCATTTTCTATATTTATTTCAGATTTATTTTAAATTGACAGGCATACAATAAAATGATAATATTGTGCATGTCACTAAATTGTAGTCTTGTCAATACTCACGGGATATGTGATTTTTAAAAAATCCAATTTACCTCCATTTTGGGTATCTGAGGTGAATTCAATTTCTTCTCTTTTAAATGTTACCATTCTTGATTGAATTTAGTAGCAATTGCCAGATGAAACACTATACTCAAACCCTTCTCCATACTAAACAGCACAAGGAATAAAGAGACAATGTCAAACTGAAGCAAGGTCATCATTCTCAACACCATAATTGTACTGAAGCACTGCTCTCTAAGTTACTGTTCCTGAATCAGTAATCAGTGAACATATAACCTGGACTGTGCTGCTAATCCATTCCTAACTTTTCAACATTTACATCCAAGCTCAAATTGTAGCCAATAATATCCTGAGGGTGAATCTGAATTAAGCAAGAGTGCCGTTAGAACTTTAATGTCCACCTAAAAAAAAGACAACAGAATCTTAATTTAATATTTCATCTAAATAATTTCAATTTCAACAACTCAGAACTCCATATACTTTATAGTTAACATCACATTCAGGCTTGGGGCTCAAACTCACATCGTCCGACCTTTCCAAGTATACTGCCAAATCGACAAACTTTATTATTCTCTACACTATGAACTATATACAATTTATGGCATGTTGTTTGATTTTCAAATTATAGTGAACTAGCTCCGAAGCTTAATAGAGTTGAAAAACTGACCGAAATTAGCAGCAGGAGCACTAACTGGCTGTCACTGTATGTCAAGATTAAGTACTTGTTACAATAGCATCACTCAACAGGAAAGGATATTAATGGGAATTAGTCTGGAAATTATTAAACAATATTTCACATCAGATACCCATTACATTAGAGTTTGTTTAAAAGATACAACACAAAGGTTAAAAGAAAGCCAAACTATAACAGCGAAGCGCAAGAGAATTAGATATCTGAACTACTGCCTTGAAACACGTTTCTAATTTTAAAATACACTTACCCAACGACCCCCATGGGAGCTCAGTACGTGAATGCACTACATGGAGTGGCACTAATCCACACAGAACAGTAAGATCCCACGTTCAAAGCTAGACTTGTGATAAACTAGCTTAACTCAACCAAAAGAGCAGCGAGGAAACTGCAAATGGCATCCGCGTTGCCACCATAACAAAGCCAAACTGGCCGAATGCTTGCACAAACAAAAATATTCCAAATGAAGAAAAGGGTGAAGCTCAGATACAATTACCCCCACCACATCAGTAAAAAAATCACAAATGGTTACTAATCAATGTCATGTATAAAGAACAGCTACTGGCATGGAATAATAATAATATTCCTTGCATTTGGCATCATACCATATCACACTGAAATGACTCAAAAAGCTCCACGGGAGTCTATTGTACAATGTAGTGAATGTATTTGCAGGTGAGGATCAATTTCTACAAACAGCCGTGAAGTAAATAATCACTTTTAACTGGAGGAGTGTTGGCAGGAGAAAGTCTCTTTTTGAATATTGCTACGAAATCTTTAACATCCACCTGAATAGGCAGACAGGATCTTGATGTAATGTCTCAGATGAAGGTCAGCACCTCTGACAATGCAACTCTCCTCCACCATTGCACTGTTATCCTAGACTATGAGCTCATGAGTTCCAAGGTGGGATTTGACCGCACAACTTTCAGAGGCAATATAACAAATCTTTGGTGCTTATATGTCTGATTTAAAAACCATCTAAATACAATAATAGTCATATGTAGAATAGTCTATAAACAAACATTTGTTATGCCTTTCTAGTACTTTCCAATTTTCATCTGCATGGCACATTCAACTATATACTCAATAAGATACTTTCATTAGTACCCAAATTGATGATGCACATGTGAAAAGCCAAACTGAATTAGTGCCCAGCGGCAGCAGTGCATTTCAGAAAACATGACTCAAAGAAGCACACGCCCGAGGCTTCAACAAGTATACAACAACAACAAAATGAAATTTATATAGTGCCTTTCACGTCGGGAGGACATCCCTAGGTGCTGGTATATTAAAACGCCTTCTGAAATTATCCTGACAAAGTTTTAAAAAAGTATAGAATCACCCTGCCACAAAATGCATACATGACAAATATCCAATTTGTTATACTTTTTCATCCACTCATTATTTTCACCAAATGTCACCTGTCAAATCTTGCATCTTTACATCCTGAGTTGTAAATGCATCGATGTAAAGTAATAGTGGAAAACTATACCATCACGGGATATTGATGACTTCTCAAACCCATGGCTGTAGAGCAAAAGTTCAATGCAACCAACCACTGTTGCTGAAAGAAGTTTGTATATCTTAAGATATTTCAAACCAGATCATACTCACTGGTGTATTCAAAGATATGATAATTTAAGTAAAATATTCAAAGAAAAATAAGGTAATAATTTAATTGTAGTGATCTGCTGATATTAATAAACTGTCCTCACTTTACTTTCAGTCAACAGGCTGAATTACCTCAACCAATGAATTACTGCATTGCACCTTCTTGCCAGTCATCTAGCAACCTAATTTGTTTAACAGCAGCAGTTAGCGCTTCTCCAAAACTAAGTCTTGTACTTGGGACAAATCTACCAATCAGAACAATTATACAACCACTTTTTACTACAGACCACTTAATAGAAACATTATATACTTATTTTTGTACTTAAAAAATGTACAATGGAAATTGTGACAAAAACTGTACCTGTGTCTTTTTTACACACACAGAGAGTTATTATGGTCTGGTATGCACTGCCCAAAAGGCTGGTGGAAGCAGATTCGATAATAGCTTTCAAAAGGGAATTAGATAGGTACTTGAAAAGGAAAAAATTGCAGGGCTATGGGTTAAAAGTGGGGGAGTGGGACTAGTTGGCAGCTCTTTCAAAGAGCCGGCACAGCCACGATGGGCTGAATAACCTCCTTCTGTGCTGTAAGATTCTACAATGTGAAAGAGAAACAAAACTCACACCTACAGGATTAGCAAGTCAATTCCCTTTCACATATGAACTTTAGTAGCAGTCATAAGAGCAAAAACATGCCTACCCTTTCCACCCTCAAATCTAATGCTGATCAATCACACAGTGGTTATGATCTGAGGACACTCTACAAAGGGTAATAGAGAAACATAGAATACAAATTGCATTCGAGAAAAAAAAGGCAATTATTCATCTACAAAAATACTTCGTACCTAGAGCTGGCAAAAGCAGTAAAATCAAACTTTAAAGAAATTTCTAGTAACTCAAGGCTATTTATATTCAGGTGCTACAAAATACATATGGTAAAATCAATTCTACCAATTAGTCTAGGAATTTTGGCAGTAATTTCAAACTGCTAAAGGAAGAGGAAGCAGGATTTGTCCAAACACTATATTCAATGAGTTTAAGTATCCTCTGGGGACAGTAGCTTAAGCTACTGTAAACCAGATTGCTTCATGTGGCATTCTACAACACAGAAGCTTATGCACCTATTTTGAAAAAAAAACGTAATGCATGATTCAAAGTAGGAGCTTCAAATTCCCAAACGTGCTTGGAAATAAGTTGTTTCCTTACTTCAAACACCGAAGAGGAAACACGCTCGGGCTTCCTCTGCAGTAACCGAGCAAAACTCCTTAAAAAGATCGGGTTTATGATAATAATAATAATAATAATCCTTGCATTTGATATAGCGCTTTTCACGTCGGGAGGACGTCCCAAAGCGCTTCACAGAACACACTGTAAAGTGAATTGACTGTATATTTGTGGGCAAATTATATTATGATATTATGTATATGATAAAAGCAAATTATATTATGATATCATGTATATTATGATAAAAGCAACTCCGCATACTTTTCTGCGCTGTATCTGGGGGGGAAATATTGTAGCAGCGATAGGTGCAGAGCCACTTGCAGTGACACATCAACACACGCTGAACTTGTCATCCCGACGTGTTGATAAAAGTTTCACCGAGATCTTCAATGCAGTTTCAAGTGCAGCTAAACCCACAGGACAGGTTCCAGCCCAACTTCAAGCGTAGCACTTGTCAGCTTCACAGAAAACATGTTTCACCCCCACCCGCCCACCCACCACCACCACACGTTTTCAAAACCTAAAACAACTGCATCCCTCCTCCCGTGAAAGCGACGCACAATTTGCCAAACCGTACACACACAAACACACACACACACACACACAAAAAAAGGGATTGCAGCATTACAGATGGATCGATGGCAAAAAAAAAATAACAAACTCCTGACGACAAAGCTTAGTGCGGACTAACTTTAATCCAAACTCTGCTAAGGGGACTTACCAGACCACTCCGAAGGCTCCGTATCCGATGGGTCTGTCGGGCTCGATGTCCAGTTGATGCACCTTAGCGGCGGCGGCGGCGTGAATCTGCACAGAGGCGGCGGCTGCGGCAGCGGCCGGCGCCGGGGACGGGAAGTACGGCGCCTGACCCGGGTTCAACATCGCCGCCGCGGCTGCAGCGGCGGCCGCTGCTGCTGCCGCTGCTGCGGCGGCGGCGGCCGCCGAAGACGACGACGACGACGAGGAGGAGACAGAGCCGACACCGGACACGACGGCCGGGTGATGGTGATGCTGGACCGGGTGCACTGCAGTACCGATCCCGCCGCCGCCCGCTGCTCCCACGGCGCCGCCGCCGCCTCCGACGACGACTCCGACGCCGCCTCCTGCCCCAGCGCCGCCGACGCCGACGGTGGCGGCGATGGCGACGGCGGCGGCTGCTCCCGGGTGCAGATGAGCCGGGTGGTGATGGTGCGGGTGGTGGTGATGATGGGGCGGCGGCGGCGGCGGCTGGTGGTGGTGATGGCTGTTGCTGCTGCCGCCGCCGTGGTGGTGATGGTGGTGGTGGTGATGGTTGTGGTGGGCCCCGGCACCGTTATAAGCCATCAGCTTGGCGGCGCTTTGATGCTGTTGGCTCGCGCTGGTGCCGCACAACGCCATGGCCAACGGTCGCGCCTCGCGCTCTGGGCTTCGCGCCTCCCGCCTCGGGCGCTCGAGCTCCCCTCACCGGTCTCCTCAGCGTCTCCTCTCCTCCGGCCGCTTCTCTTTCTTCCCCCCCACCCCCCACCCCCTCCTCCCCTCCTTCTCTTTCTCTTTCACACTCTCTCTCTCTCTCTCACTCACCCTTCTTCTTCCTCCTATTTTTTCTCTCTCTCTCTCTCCTTTTTTTTTCTTCTTCACACCATTTTTCCAAGAAAACCGGAGCGAGCAACTGACGGTCCCTCTTTTTTTTAATCTCTCTCTCTCGTCCTCGAGAGGTTTTTCTTTACCGCCGCCGAAAAAAAAACTCTTCTCCAAGCGCAGAGCTTCTCTTTCTTTCTCTCTCTCTCCCTCTTTCTTTTTTTAAAAATTTTTTTTGAAAAAAAAACAAAAAATTAAAACAAAAAAAAAAACCTCTCTCTCTCTCCCCCCTCTCCCACCCCCCGACAACCACCTCACACACTAGTTTCACTTACACCGCGCATCGGTGTCGGGTCAATATATATATATATTCACATATCTGGAAGAGAGATGGGGGGGAAGGGATGGGGGGAAGAGGGGAAAGGAGAGAGGAGTGGGGGGAGGGGGGGGAAGAGGGGAAAGGGGAGAGAGAGAGAGGGAGGGAAGGGGAGGGGGGGAAAGAGGGGGGAAAAAAAGTCTCTTGCTCTCTCTCTCTCTCTCTCCTCTCTCTCGCCGCTTTGGTTGACGACCCCGCAGCCCCGACATCCGAAAAGTCTCTCCCCTCCCGCCCCTTCCCTTCCACTCCCTCCCCAGCTGGAGCCGGAGAAACTCAACACGGTACCCTCGGAAGCGAGAACCCCTCCTCCGCTCTCCCTCTCTATCCCCGCTGCCGCCACTATCCCTCCGCTCTCTTTCTGTCTGTCTGTCGCCCGCCCGCTCTGCTCTGCCGGACGCAAACCAAACCTGCTGGTCGGAAGCCCCGGGTCTGTCCCGCCCTCCCCCCGACTGATTGACAGCGACCTCTAGCCAATCGGCGGGGCGCGCCCTGCTCGACCGACAGCGCCGCCGACCTATGAGCGGGCAGGGATTGGAGAGGTGGGCGGGCGGAGGGCCGTGGGGGCGGGGAGTCGCGCTGCGTCCACCGCGTCCAGGTACTCGGGCGTGCTGCAAGGGCGGGGTCCGGGGGGGGGGGAGGGGCGGGGGCTGAGAGAGGGGGCGGGGCCCGGGAGGGGGCGGGGTCGCGGTGGGGGCGGGGCCTGGGGATGGAGGGGGCGGAGCCCGGGGAGGACTGGGGAGTGGCTATAGGATAAGCGCTATATCAAAGGCAATGATTATTATTATTATTATTATTACTATTAACGGAAAGGACAAGCGACACTTTTTTTTCTGAGACGGCTTGAGAGTTCGTCAGCCAAAGGACACGTGAGCTGGACCTGCTCCCACCAACCCTCACACACACACACACAAACACACGCACAAAGAGGTCACCGCCTTGTTATCAATGAGATCCTCGACTGGTACCTTGTGGGAATCACGTAAGAAAGAGCGCAAAGTGGAAAAAAGGGACCGGGGGTGGGGGGACGGGGGCGGAGGGGTCTTTCGGATGGATTTTGCACAATTGGCTGCCGCGTTTTGCCCACAAACTCTACAGTCGATTCACTTTACAGTGTATTCTGTGAAGCGATTTGAGAGATGTCTCGAAGACGCGACAAGGCGCTGTATCAAATGCAAGGATTGTTATTATGTATTAATCTCCCCTCCCGTCTCCACTCTTGTTGGAAGACTTTTTAATTTTTTTGCACTTTTTTTAAAAAGAACGCAATTTTTAAAACACTGTAATAAAACATAACATAAACTTGGGAACATGGATGGTATCTACCTTACATACTTTGTGCAAGAGCATCATTTCGAAGGGTCAGTGCATGCTTCTAAACTTTTCAAAACCATGCATTTTAAACTTGGGATTGTTTAAGGTAACATTTATTGGAATAACGCTCCAAAATATTGACCCAAGTGCAACCAACAAAAGTTAAAAATACATTTGAAAATTTTGTTTTTAGAAAATGTAGCTTAGCTTCGCTCATGGCGCTGTTAACAACTGAGGAATCAACCCCTTAGTCTGTTCCAGTCCGACCTCCAACTCTATTTTCAGGGCAGCTGACGATTGCACCTGTCACTGTACCATATGCTGCATGGGAAACTGGGTCAGTCTACAGGTAGGCACCAGTCTACAGCTGTGGGACTGACCTTATCCACATGCAAAATGACCCCTAGCAGAATACTACAGGTTATTGTTTTTGTGTAGTAAAATATCTAATTGAAATAGTTGTACATTTAGGTGCAATGGCAAATAAAGGAATAATATTATAGAGCAGTCTTTTTTAGAAAAGTGTTATTGCTAGTACAATTATTTCATCTATTCGCAATCAGACTCAGTAGTTTTTCTTAATTGTTTACATCAAAGAAAAATCTACAATTGAGAACGCATCAAGTTATATAGAAGGTAAGGAGGGGAGAAGGAAAGTTTGATAACTTGTTCATAGAGAAAAAAGAAAAAAACCTTTCCTAAAAATGCCTTTAAAAATTCTACACCCAACCACTAACCTTCATCTCACTTGAAAAGAATATAATAGAGGTATCAACATCACATCTCCAACATCTGTATTTGAGGTTGCCCCATACTCCCTCGCCACCATGACATTTCACTGACGGGATACATATTTAGCTTCACTTTTCAGATTGTAACAGCTGGAGATTCATATTTTTCTAATAATTATCAGCCTGAAGCTCCGCATCTACCAAAGGGAATATATCTTGATTCTGATTACTGGAGGTGGCAGTGGGATTAAGAACTGAATAAATATCCACAAGGATAACCTGGCAACAAAATGTTTGCCTGAAGCATTAGACCTGTTACAGTAGGAAGTTTGAAAAGGTATTGCTTATTGCAATGTGCATTGAGCGGGTTGTGTGGATCTGAGGGTTATAGACTGAGGGTAGTTAAGGTTTCTTGTAGAGGAAGAAATAGCTTACATTATTATAATCCCTTATCACTTTAAAATGTGCAGTGTAGTGACTATCTTTACAAATATCACAGCCATTTGTGGCAGCAAGACCCAGCAAACATCCAGGAGATGATGACTAATTAATCTGTCAACCAGCACATTGGTGGAAAAAAAAACTCCTTTCTCTTTTAAAAAGTGTCATTGGATTCTTCATAACTACTTGAACAGGCGGAACCAATCTTAGTTTAATGTCTTATCCAAAAGGTGTGGCGAATTCATCAAGTCAATACTTCCGCAGGAGGGCATTGAAGTGTCAGCCTAGATTATAAATTCAAATGCCGACGTGTGGTTTCTGACCCAGAGTTGGGCATCATACCAAATAAGTCAAATTAACACCTGGGGTGAAAATTAACTTATTTGGGGGGAACAAAAGGGAAAAAAAGTCCATTGACTGATCTTTCATATAAAAACCTTTTTTTCCCCTGTGGAAAGAGCAATGCAAAATTCCTCTTTGCAAAATTATCATAAGCGCTTAAAATATTTTTAAAATAGACTGGGCTAGTGAGGAGAAAAAAGATAGGTTTCCCACTCCTGAACGCACACCTGTTACTGGAAAGTGTACATGTGCCGACATGTAGCGACGATATGACTGGGCTCAGATTTGAAGCCTATAGCATGAAACACCCTGGTGACACATACAATACTTCACAAGAATAGTCACTTGGTTAGTGCCTGTGGAACTGAACCCCAGAAAAAATCAGTGCCTTCAGTAAAAAAGATTGGGGAAAAAACTAAGTGGAGGGGGATAATAATAATCTTTGCATTTGATATAGCCCCTTGTTATATCTTTGAGATGTCTCAAAGCTCTTCACAGAATATATTTTAAAGTGAATTGACTGGGTATTTTGTGGGATAAACATGGCATCCAATTGTGCACAGCAGTGTCCCACAAACAGTCATGGATGGAAGATGTATATACATTTAACTTAGTTTAATTTAATTTAACTTAGAAAAATGCATTTTGATAGTCAAAACAGGTCCTTTTGTGCCTGACCACCTGTGCAAAGGTAGTTTGGTAGTAATCAATCTATATTCCTCAATACCCAGGTTGGTATAGGGGGAAGTTTATTGTTACTTAATCTTACTTCCTTAGTGTGAGAAAATATAGATGAAATTGACATTTTTGTGAAGTTCAGCAAATTGACTGTTTAGGTTTCGCTAATTAAGTGAAAATGGCACATCCCAATGTGAGCTCTGCAGTCAAATATTTTTCTGTACTACACGAGTAAGTTTTTCAGATAAGTAGCTCCATTTTTAAAAATAATCTTACATTGTGAAATTTCTATTAACAAACACAGTTTGAACATGGAGATGAAGACTGGATATATGATGTGGCATTATCTTGCAAGCTCTCAGCCCTAAATAATCATAGACAATCAAAATAAGAATGCAGTACTGGAATGAAGTATTAAAATATATTTTGGATCCAAGTCGATCAAAAGATGATTAAACCTCTGAAATGGACACTTATTTGCCCACAAGGGGAACAATTATATTCCCAATATCCCTATTTTGGGGGACATCGAAAGTAGCAACCGGGTTAAAAATAATCAAAGTGGCTGCATAATTCACCACCTAATCACACCTAATCATATAATCCAACGCTTAATTAAATAAAGACTCTGATGTTGAACTACATGGTGTGTGTGCGGAGGGGGGATTCTTCTCCATAGACACAGAAATAGAAGGGGAGACTTTCCACACACACACACACGCACAAAATGTTGAGGGGTGTTTATCGATTTTGAGACAGGTGCAAATGGACATGATTTTTTCAGTACTCAACCTGGCTTCCTTTTCATATGAAGCAGAAATTGAACAGAACCACCCAATGCAAATGCAGGTCATGGAGTAGTAATGACAGGCAGCTCCAGAAAAGTTCACGCTTCCCCTTTGTTTGATGGAGGAAGTGTGGCAGCAGGGGGGTAGGTACATTGAAAGCAAAAGAAAGATAATTGCAGTGATTTTACCCAATGCTGGATTTGTGGTTGAAAGCTTAGAAGCTGTAGAGCAGTTGCTCAGTGGAGAATGAGCACAAGTAATAGTAATTACAGTAG